AATTGCCTCCTTTCTCTCTTGTTCCCCCCCTTTCCTTTGATCCAATAACAAAAACACATCTTCCATTCCAACAAAGCTCAAAACAAAGTCTTCCATTGGTGTATACCACCATCGAATAAAAAAAATAAATAAATAAATAAACTCAACGACACCACCAGACAAAATTCACACAACACGCACAAAAAAAGAAGGAAAATGAAGGGGGAATTCAAAGTGAAAAACAAAGAGAGAAAAGGGAGTGAAATCCAACCCAAGAGTCTTGCTCTGTTAACTGAGAATTGCATTGTGCAACTTTCAACACAAAAAAAGTCAATTTGAATCTAATCTCATCCAAAAGTAAAATCAAATATGCAATTTTAAATAACCTATGCTTTGTGAGCAATCATCATAGATTTCATCTCGTCACCGCCAATTTTTCCATCATCATTGTCATGGTGATGGACAATGATGATGGAAAAATTAACAGTGACGAGATGAAATCTACGATGATTGCCTAGTATGAATATTGTCATCACTGCTACTGTATCGCTTGGGGTGTACCTAGGGGCATCAAAAGAGACAGTTGTGGGGGTTGGGAGGTCAAAGGAATGGAGACTGTGCTTTCTATCATAAAATAAAATGCTATCTATGTTTCTTGATGAACTGAAGACCCAGAAATCAAAGTAGAAGGAACTTTAGAGAGAGAAAGTATAACATTATCTCCAGACTTTTTGCTTATGTAGCAGATTTAGGTTGGTTGCCTGTTAAATAAGCCTGTCCTGGCTCAGCAGTGTATAATTTAATCTTATACCATAAAAAGGATAGAGTTATATTATACTCCTCTCAACTATCCTTAATTTCACATGCAAGCTAACTTCAAAACGAAACATTAACAATCCTGCACCTTGTCAAAGATTCAAGGAAGAACACGTGTTTTATAATTATATATATAGGGCAATTTGTCATTAAAAAAGAAAATTTTCCAGAAAAACAATTACTACACAAAAGCATCATTTGTGTATTTCTAGACATTAGATAGGAAACATGTTCCTAGACTTTTGTCATACCACTCAATTTCATAAACAAGAGCAATGCCACAACATACCAAAATTAACAAATTACGAAAATGTTGCACACTCGTAACAATATTCTAAAATTCGAAGAGCAATATAATAACAAATACATTAAGCACTGCTAAATGCAATCAATAGAGAACATACTCATCTGATATAGAAAGATATGCATCCCTGAAACTTGCATTAGCCACAACTTCAGGCTTGTTCAAATAAAAATACATATTCCAAACAAACAAAAAAAGAGCTCAGTGCTTATGTCCAGGTAATTCTATTATCCTCTTATTGGTAATTCTACTATCCTATTTCATCTTGTGGCTGGTTTGAATTCTCTCTTGTCTTTGAATTTTTGTAATCACATAGGTCGTGATCTTTGTGTTTACTATAACCTCTTAATAGATCAATGTCTTTTGTGTATTTTATAGGTTGAGAGCTCTGTTTTTGCTCCCACGGATGGACAAAACTCCCGTGGTCTAACAATGGCCCAAGCACCCTCCGATATGGTCTGGCATCTATCCCATTTTCACACCAAACTATGAGGTAACTATCGTCTATCATTTTGTCTATCTCACAGATAACCGAGTTACCAATAGTTCTACCTCCTAAAACCATAGAGAAATGCAATCTTTCTAATATAACAACAAAATCTATATGATAAAGCACAGTAAGCAAGCATTGCATAGCAAAAGTCAGAGTCCTCGTTTTAACAAAATGATAAATAGTAGATGAACAACTTAAATCATATATTAGCCTTCTAAGAAACCTTCTGATTGATTAGAACTTCAGTTTATGCTTTTGTCCCTAGACCTTCTCATTTGTATTTCTAAGAAAATGGTGTTGATCATCATCTTTGGTTTGCCAAGAAGAGCATTAGGGAAGGCCACTGAAGCCCTTCCTTTGCCAGCATTCTCAAACTGGCATGGCAAATGCAAAGCATAGTGTGGTGTTGAAGTCGACTGTGGTCATAGAGTTTTAATTCATATAATGACCTATGTTGAACTATTTTGATCCTATTTTGAGTTTTAACTCATATAAGAAACTATGTTGAAGTGACTTTAAATATTGTGTTTTAATTTTTGTAAAATTTTATTTTCTATATACTCTTTGTGGTTTGGGAGTAAAATGTCTTTGGTGTGTGGATTTTAAATTTTTATTTTATTTTATTTGATTGGATGACAATTTTAATTTTTGTGCATTTTAAGCTATGAAATTAAATGGTTACAAAATATTTTCTAAATTGACTTTTAGCGACAAAAATGTGTGGTAGAGAAAGTTATTTGTCTTTTAGCGACCAAATATAATTGTCGTTAAAAATGTCATTATTTTGTTTTTTGTGACCAAATTAGGATATTTTGTGACGAAGTATTAGTGACTAAATGTTTAATCTTGTAAAATCAAACATTTTGTGACAATATAAAATTGGTTGCTAATTGTAATTTTTAGCGACATTTTCAGAAATTTGTCGCTAAAGATTTTTCTCGACGCACTTTTACTGACTTTGTTAGTGATGAATTTAAATTTGTCACAAAAACTATTTAGAGACCAAAATAATTGGTCGCCAAAAGTCTTATATGTTGTGGTGAAGGCTTGGCTTGGTTTGGTTTATATGATGCTGTAAACATTCTCCCACAACCTGTGTAGAGGGCTTTCTGCCCGTTGATAAAAGTAGAAACCAAAATTATGTAAAATATGTGAACTGCCAACAATGAAATAGATATTGATTGTATTTGCTACTCTCTTAGCCAAAATGCTTCTCAAAGCCTCTCTTCTTTTTCTTCTTCTGGTCAAACAATGGCTCTGCCAACTTTTGCGTCTAGGCAAATCTGTCAATCTTTGTTTTGTGATCAACTGGTTGTGATTATGGTGAGATGATCTAATGGCCGAAAAGGAATGGTAATTGTGATAATAAAAAAAAAAATTACTTTTACATTATTGGAGTAACAGTGCCAAAAAATGGGCAAAATGACACTCATAAGTTGAAAAATGGCTTTGGTTTTGCCAATTTGTTTATATCTTTTTAAATATTTTAGCATTTTGAAGTGGGAGAAAAGAAAATTGACTTTTTTTTTGTTGGCAGACAAGAAAATTGACTTGAATCTTGCAACGAACTGGCTTAGGGAGGTAGTGGTATTCAAATATTTACTTTCACATGTTGTCACTGTATAATTTGAAGTTTATTATTATTAATAATAATAATATGAAGAAGAAGAAGAATAAAATAATCTGATTTTTTTTGCACCTAGTGTTTGACAATATCCTTTGAAAGTCAATATTTGAGTCTAATATATTTCTGCCTTAAGTTTACAGTGAGATTTATGAATTTCAAATTAAAGAATTTGGTCACTGATTTGAAATAGCTCAATTTTAAATATGATAATTTAGACATGAAATTTCTAGATAAAAACATCAATGAAATTAATACTATAATTGAATTTAAAATTGGAGACAAAAAAAAAAAAAAAGTAAAAGAAAACTACCATTTTCCCCTTCCCCCTTGTCTTGTATTCGAATATGGAGGTTCACATCGACCACTAAAATCAGACTCAATCAGGTGAGAGTGCTTAAAAATGCAACAAGTTAGGAAGACCAAACCTAGAAAAACGTTAAAATTTAAGCAGCTCTTATGTCGCCTGAAAAAAATAAAAAACCGACACCATGCACAAGACACCTGCTAAAACAAAGTCCAAGATAGACGACAACATTTCTAGAGACGGTTCTGTGGTTCAAATCCCCACAAGCCACTAGAGACACTGACGATAAGCCTTGCTGTTGGGGAAACCACCCTTTCAAGCACCATCACTGATAAATGATAAACGCCAAATAAGGTAAGCCTAAAGCCAGGGAACGAACATGGCCAACCATTGTTATCAGCAAATTACTCTGCTACATATAATACACAATATGAATGGGGCAAACAAGCTTTTACAAGAAATGTCAAATTAAATACGACTTTTTTTTCCAGTCTTTGCTCAGTGTAGGTAGCCTGAATCTGGGAAACGGACACAGACAACCCTTATTCTCCAGCAAATTACTTTATGCTACGAATACAACATAATAGGCATGGGACACACAAGCTTATAAGCATCTGTCAAGTTAAAGCTGTGCCACCATTAAAAATAGCATCCTGAAAACTAACAACTCCTCAAGGCTTTCATAATAACCCCAAAATCCAGTCAATTGAGTGGTTATAACCTCTGGGAGCAAAGTCTCATTAACCAAATTTACTTCAACAAGGGAAGAAAAATAGTGAATGGCTTCCTGAACCCCACATGTTCATCTTCCACTCACTGCAGATCTAGATCCTGTGCCAGATAACAATCACAGTTAGCAGCAGCTGAAACATGAAGATAATCTTATACCAGATGTGGCTGCAAAAATTGACCAAAACTCAAATAATATATTACTCTTATGAGGTTATTTATATCCTGCCTTAATTCCAATAGTTTAAATTAAGTGAATCACACAACAAAGCCTAGGTGCAGATGGGATAGCCAATTAAGACAAGTATAACATACACTGCTGGAAAATTCACCTTTAGCGGCGTTTTTTAAACGCCGCTATAAGCACTAAAAACGTCGTTAATTATTTTTGTGACGTTTAGTACCAAACGCCGATGACGCGGCCGTCGCTATAGCTTTATGGCGTTTGAGAAACGTCGTTATATTAGTATAGGCGGCGTTTTTAAAAACGCCGCCAAATGTCTTACTTAACGACACTATGACATTTAGCGACGTTTTTGAAAACGCCGTCATAAACATTTTTACCTTTTAAAAATCTAACCGTTGGGGTGGGATATAGTGACGTTTTTTAAACACCACCATAACCTTTTTTTTAATTTTTAAATTGTGCTAATTTTATACGGTTGAACAAAAAAAAATACCTATCAAACAATTATTAAGAACTAATAATTGATGTTTATTAAAATAATAAATAAACTAAGCCTGAAAACAAAATTAAAAATAAGAAACAATACATTGCACACTCAAGAATAGAAACAATTCATGTTCAGACTTTAAATACATCAATTAAAATCAAATGTTACTTCAGTGGATTTTTTCAGAATTCAGGCAGCAATACTCAATGAAAATAGGAAAGTAGGTGTCATCATTGAATTTAGCCTAGAACATCACAAACTATCCCTAGCAGCAATATAAATCAATGTTGATGGAGGGTAACCGAGAGCTTGAAGAAATATTCCCACCTCTTCAGGGGGTTAATGGACAAAAGCCTCCTTTTCTCTGTTCTGTTGAATTTATCTTCTTCATCTTCTAGTGGAGGTACATTACATCCAATGCAGAGGCAGGAAGTTTTGCCACTTGTCAACATATAGCCTAGACATGTACAAATGTATGAAATCACATACGTACATCTGTACATAGGTATATCATCATTTTTTTGATAAATAAAATTTTGCATGTATATATATACAAGATATTTACCTCATTATTCTTAGCTCTTCAGATTCTGCATCAGTAAGACCATGAGTACAGCCAGTGAAAGATAACATGTCTTTCTCATATCTCAGATGAAGAGCAATGTATCTTCCTCCATGGGATCTCAGCCGATCCATCAGCTTCTGCGGTCTCACTGTTATGTATTCTCAGAACCTAATTTAACAGGAATATCCCCGTAGGAGGCCTCTCAAAAGTAAATTACCACCTACATCATACTCGGAGCAATATTCTGTACAAACCTCGTAAGGTTTTAAATGCTAATGAGATTTCAAAAATTTTGTCATTCCATTTCAAATGGAGTAATAGATCCAAAACCATGCATGGTGGCAAATGTTTGATTGATTATAATCATTATCAATTCAACACAGGAAGTCCCAAAATTTGTAATAAAATTCTAAGGAGCATTCAGAATTTTGGTAAGATCAATTCAATTGTAACTGGAACTAGATTCCAAATTTATTTGGCAGATGAATGCAGGAGAGACAAAAGTTCTAACCTTCCCAAGATTGTCAATAGAAAGGAGAGAAGTGGAGAGCATAATACAGAGCACGACATCTCAACCTTTGGATATCAACAGGTAGATCATTATTTGCAAGTCTGGAATCTGATTTTACAACATGAACCACCTGCAAAAAGTGAATTGATAAATGATCCCTCAAGCTCAGACAATGTGATAATCAGATTACTCTGTCTAGGTTCAAATTGGTTTTTTCATTTATTTCAATAAATAACAATATGAACCACCATAATAACAATAGTAATCTTTTTTTTGGGTGAATAACAATAGTAATCTTCCTTTTAAGCATCTGGTAACAATGTAAATGTAAAGTATTGCCAGGTAAAATGTCCAAAATTAGTCACATGACCGATTAAGTAAATTGCATGTTTCATTTCCTTGAATTTTGACCCCTTGTTGCTTCAAATGAAAGGCAAAAACGGTTTCCCCAAGGTACATATTTAATATTTTAAGAACAAGCAACAACATTCAAGAACATTAACTCAAAAAACACGTAAACATGAGCAGTCAAATAGTGCATCAGTCAGATAGTGACAAATGTCACAAAGCAAATGGCAACAAAAGCAATCCTGAATATGGAGCCCGCTATATGGATCTGTATTCAATTTTTTTTACCCTGCCAAAGGTCTTTTCATATATTAAGTTATAGGCCAGTTATCTGCTGAAAATGCCACTCTATCTTTCTGGTTTGATTGAGTGAGGGCAATAAGCTTAATCAAGTGATCAATTAAGCTTTGGATGTAACTTGGGTCTATGTCAACAGTGAAACTGAACTCAAAACCACCATTATTACATTCAAAAACAAAAATTGCAGCCTTATTTATTTTGTTGGTGCAATGCACACATAACTGTTAGAAGTTCCAGAAATACAAACATATAATAGATTACCTTAACAGCTGATAGCATTAAAGAACCTTTTGCAAGCTCAGCTGCTATACATGAAGCCAAAGTGCAGCCAGTTCCATGAGTATTCCGAGTTCTTATGCGTGGTGAACGCAGCTCATAGAAATTATCTCCTAGAAGATCAAATCAAGAAATCAAATTAGCAAAAGACACCGCCTAGAGATACACACAGTTACAACTCAAAAACCCCAATGAATACATTAAGCATACCATCAAAGAAAATATCAACAGCATCCAATGAAGAAGCGAGGTCACCTCCTTTGACAAGTACATTTCTGAAAACAAAAACAAAGCTGTTACGAATTACAATTCTTCTTCTTGTCTAGTCTTTGTAAAACAAATCTGCTCTAAGAAATAAAAGAGCAAGCCCATATGTACACATTGACTATGCAAACTCAAAGTTAAACCTGCCTCTCACAGTGCCTAGCATGACACTTAAACCTCCCTCTCACAAATCACAATTGGCATTCATATCTTTATCATTGCCCAAACTTCTACTAATAGACTCTACTAAATCCATGAGAAAGGTGACGTGTCAGTTACCTTCACAAAGACTAGATAAGTGTCATGTCAGTAAATTCAACGCTAAAGTGACTTGGTGCCAAACAACAAGGTGTCGAAATATAATTTTTCCTACTTTTGGAGGGATTGTGGAAAAGTTTGGCAGCTTCTGATAAGCCTCGGCTGAGTGGAATTACCACCGGCAGTGGTGTGTGGCCATCGGCACAAAATGAAGCTGTCGGCAGAGAAAAGATTGCCGGCCGGCACCTTACACTGCCGATCGGTAGAATGTTCCTGCAGAATCTGCAAATGACAGCAACAGAGGGCAAGGCAAAGCATGGCAGCACAATTCAAGGCATGTATGCAACAATCATGTCTCTTATCATGGTAATGACTCAAAGGGGCATGTGCCTCGATTTTCAGACCACCAATCACGCATTTCCATGCATGATGGCCCAAAGAACCAAGTATGCAACTTTGATTTCAAATGCATGCAAACCAAATCAAACCAAACAAGGCTCAATTCCTATCACTAAGTCTAGGAACAAAGCATGCATGCAACATGCAATGCAATCTAGGCATGCAAGCTAAGGATGCAACATGGCATGGCAACAAGCTTATGCAAGCATACAAGCATACATATGGCAATGCAAATGGGTGCAAAGATGGACTTAAACATGAATTAGGCAGCTCTAAATAGGCCTAAAACAGTAGCCATAATGCCCAAAGATGAAGGCTAAACACACATGCACACACACACATGTTAAGACCCAACACTTAGGCACAAAGTAAGCAACATTCAAGCACACTTGAAAGAGGCATTCATGGACTAAAAGCATGCAACATAAGCTCTGAAATCATGCTAAAGCATGGTGCCAAACCAAGCAACAAAATCAAGCCAAGCATGCATCAAATGGCCCAAGTGTTCAAAGCAAATCAAAGGAGCATTGAACTACACTCAGCAAGACCAAACATGGCATGAGCTCATTGACCAAAAACAGAGTTTTGGGACACTAATACAAGGCCTAAGGACCATTTAGATGGCATCTAAATGACTCAAAAACAAAGGCATGCATAAACACCAAAACATGGAGCATTGCTACACAAGCTTAAGAGGCATTAAAGATGCATGCAAGGCATGGAAATGGGACTGAAATAGCATGTAGGATGATTCCAAATCATCAAAACAATGCAAAGATGGCATGCTACACATGCACATACTCAAGGCCAACAAGCCCAAATACAAAGGAGCTATATAATGCATGCTAAAATCAACCCAAATACTCTAGGACAGATCTAAAACATGTCAAAATAAGCACATAAACTTCACAAATGTAAACCTAAAACATGATAGAAACAAAGGCACACAACCTAAGACATGTTAAGGCATAACAAGGCATTACAAGGCAACTATGCTAAGCATGCATGGAGTACCAAAACCAACTTAAAATCATGTTATATTATGGATATATAAGCATGAAAAATAGCCTAAACATGCTTAATACACACTCAAGCATAGGCTCTCTCAAGAGGCCAAAACATGCCCTTTTCAAGGACAACAAGGAGAGGGGGTGGCCCTCTCCTTCTTGGGACTTCAAAGCATCATCTTCACCACTGAAATCCCTCAAGATTTCAGTGGTGAAGAGACCTCAACACCAAAATCCCGGAGCTAGCACAAAATGGCTCAAAATGAGGCCTTCCAAGGCCTAAGGGGGGTCAACCACCCTCAAACAACAAAACACTCTTAATAAACAATAAAGAGGGCTTAAAAAAAGAACTTTTTTATGTTATACAATAAGCACAAAAATAGCTCTAAGATAGATAGAAAATCAATGCAAAAATGAAAAAAAAAGGAGACTAGGTTCTCACCCTTGAAGACCCCGTCACAAATGGTGCTCTAATGGCCTCCTTTAGCTTGAATCCAATGCCAAAACTTCAAAATCAGTCCCTTAGAACCTCAGTTCCAAGAGGAAGGTGAAACACTAGGTGTTTGTGTGCAATAGTAAGACACAAAACACCTAGTGCACCAATGAGGGGGAAAGAGAGATAGAAAATGTATCTAACTCAAACCCTAGAACTAGAGCTCAACAATGGCTGTTTTTGCTCTCAAAATATCTAAATTCTCTAACCTAAGTCCCTTCTTCTTGCTTTAAGAGAGAGCGTCTCTCTATATCTCTTATAAAGCTTACAAGACAAGCTTTACAAGAGGGAGATCCCTCCATACACGTGTATGGAGGGATGCAAAAGCAAGACAGCTGTCTAAAAATATCTGCAAAAGCAGATGAACAGTAATCGGCCGGCCAAAAATGCCATCTTGGCCAAAAAGAGTGCCGGCCGGCACTAAATAGTGCTGACCGGCAACAAATAGTGCCGGCCGGCAATAAACATTGCCGGTGGCAGCAAACACCAGCCGGTGGCCTCTAGCCACTGCCGGTGGTGGGTGGGGATGGTCTACAAGCCCTACCCTGCCTCTCAAAGGCAAGACACAAGTGTTTGGTGCAAAACCAGACACTAAACGGTCGAGTTCGGAGATCCTGAGGCAAGGCGCGCGAGCCGAGACCTCCGGGAACTCCGAACAAACACAAACATGGATAATCACCGAGTGTTCAAACGGTGACGTCCAAGTCTTGAGGACGGTCAAAAATGGGGTGCCTACACTTGTGTTGAAGCGAAGTTGACAAGATCTTCGTTTCATTCTATTGAAAGAAGTTCAGAGTCATTGGACTTAGTGCATAGTGATGTGTGTGACTTAAAGTTTATACAATCACGTGGTGGCAATATATACTTCATCACTTTGGTTGATGATTGCACTAAGTATTGTTATGTCTATTTGCTCAAAAACAAAGATGAGGCTATTGACAAGTTTATTTTTTATAAGAATGAAGTTGGGAATCAATTAGGCCGCAAGATTAAGGTTTTAAGAAGTGATCGCGGTGGTGAGTATGAATCACCGTTTATTGAGATTTGTGCTCAATCTGGGATTATCCACCAAACCACGACGCCTTATTCTCCTCAATCAAATGGGGTTGCTGAGCGGAAGAATAGAACGCTAAAGGAAATGATGAATGTAATGTTGATAAGTTCTGGATTGCCACAAAACATGTGGGGGGAAGCAATTCTCTCTGCAAATTACATTCTGAATAAAGTACCCCGGAAGAAGGTGGATAAGACGCCATATGAGTTATGGAAAGGTGTTAAACCTTCGTATAAATTCTTACGAATGTGGGGGTGTCTTGCAAAAGTGGCAATTCCTACACCCAAATGGGTTAGAATAGGCCCGAAATCCGTGGATTGTATATTCATTGGTTATGCACATAATAGTAGTGCATATCAGTTTCTTGTACATAAGTCTGAAATTCCAGACATACACAGGAATACCATTATGGAGTCAATGAATGCATGTTTCTTTGAAGACATTTTTCCTTGCCGAACCCATGAAAGGGTTCCAAGGTCTTTGGAGAAATTTGATGAGCTTGCTAGTGAGGATGATCATATTGA